AAAATTTCAACGGGACTCAGAATTTGAGTAGACATATATATATTATATATAACCTATCTATTTTTTACATACGAAAAAGTATGCTAAAAAAAAAAAACACTTTATACATATAAAACTTATAATATAAAAAAACTTATTATATAATATAATATATTTTCATACATTTACACGGCCTTTATAGACCATAAGAAAAATATTTGAATAGCATAAATGTTTATGAATTGGAACTTTTATGTCGAATAAAGTGTATGTACTATGTGTACCTATGTATTATGTATATGTACTTTATGTATTATGCATTAAGTGTATGCACATAATGTATGACATCCGTGACGAAACCCAAAATGCATCTTAAAATGCTAAAAAATGCACTACAACGTTAATCCCACGCGCTCGTCGTGCACCGTGGTGGTGTAATGGAGCGCTGCGCTTTCGGGTTGTCGACGGTGCGCGCGCGAGCAATAACATAATCGGGTCAGTAGGTGCTTCAAAATCGTATCGCGTTTGTGCAATTAAAATTAGCCGAAACGAGTTTTTTTCTTTCTTGCCCGCACGTATATTAATTAATCGTGCACAGAAACAGAAAGAAAAAGGAAAAAAATAACATTCGGCCAAATCATTACGAAACCATTTCATTATGTACGGCCGTAGATGTAAGCGTGCATACGTTTTTTTTGTACACCGACATATCGTGTGTGCTCTTAAAAAATAACTCTGCTCTGCTATTGTGTTGCAGGCGACCGTTCTCATTTCCGCTTTGAAAATAATCCTCGTCTTCGAAGTGTTCCAAATCCATATGAAGTATTCTCGAAGGCAATAAATTCTTATACATTAACTTCGCACTACCCTTGAGACGAGACAAAAACGGGTCGAACACGGTCGGATTTATAGCGCGTTAGCGTTACAGCCGTTAAGCGTCACGCACACACGAGGCGAGTGGAGGACAATAAGAAATACGCGAAAGATAAACGCACTGAACTCGTAAATAAATATGTATCGGTGGCTATACAGCCCAGGGCTATCAAATGCAATACTATATCGTTGTAGGGAAAATGGCGTTGCGCAGAAGTCATTTAGAAATATTAATAATTTGTATGCGAGACGCGTTGATCGCGTCCGGACCGTGCAGGTCCGGTGTTGGTGAATTGCGGCCCAAACCCTAAATAACGTACGAGTTGCGGCACGGGTTTATGAGAGGTGCGTACGAGTTGTGGGCCCATACAATAATCTATATACTACATATATAATATATACTATACATAGTACATGTATATAAACATCACAATATAGATTTATTAATACTACGTATTTTCTAATGTTGTCGTATTTTATTAATATTTGTCATTTCAAGAATATAAATAAAAAAAAATATTCGTAAATTAATAATACCGTATAGTTATTTCATTTTTTAGCTATTGTTTTGGTTAAAATAATAATAATAATAAAAAGAAAATGTGTGAAAAATAAGCTAATAAATATAATAATATCTTGCGTTTCTAGAATATAATATATTATTACAATAGATAATACAATAAAACGATCTATATTATCTTAATTATATTATATAAAGATATAATTTGCCATACGTATCGAACAATTCGTTTATCACTAAATGTATAGCCAACACCGCATCGTACATATAGTTACTAGCCAATAGGTACATAGGTAATGATAATTATTCGGGCCGCAACTCACCTATAGCTAAAATATTGTCGGGCCGCAACTAACCTATGGCTAAAATATTATCGGCCGCAATTCACCAGTCTCCAACACCGGAAACGACACGCCGGGCAGCAACTCACCCACACCCGCACGGTCGCGCGTTAGGGGGTGGTCCTCTCCGGGAGATCTTTCGCGTTTTCAAGGTGTTTCGTAAGAACGTAAACAATAACCTAACCACGAGCCCGAACGGTGTCACGGTGCATTAAATCGTATTGTTGTTATTATTAGTTATCGCGGTCAACTGAGCGGACGTCGATTTTGTCGTTGCAGTGCGATATTGTTTACAGCACAACGTGTACAACGTGTATTGTCAGTGATTTTTTCCTCCTATGTATCTTCCCGTGCAACGAAATAGTGTTGAGTGTATTGCGAGTACGTAACGTGTATATACCGGATGATCGGAAATCCGTATGAAACGATGCATTGTATTCGTTTAAACAACTCTGCTCGGGTACGAATTAAGTCCCGGTAAAATATTTTAAAACGAATCCGAGTCTCTGATATTTTTACGTTGCCGTGAAACTTACGAGTACAACAATAATAAAAATTTTAAATGAAAACCATTCACCTTGTACTAGGGATGCATTGGTAAAAAATGTCATGGGTGTACGCCATTTTCTACAAATAAAAACCAATTAACCAATTTATACCAAGAAAGATTTAACTTGGAAACTCTATAGTAAAAATGTATCATCATAATACTTTCCAAAAAGTTTGAATTGATAAATATCTTTTGACAGTTTTGGATCTTGTATCGTCTGCACATCAGTGATGTATAAGCCTTGATTTAATATACGTTTCAGGACTCCAATGATTGCAATGGAGGTCCATTTAGTTTGACAAACATCAAATGAGAAATATGTTTAATGGTTAATCTATTTCTAATCATTACATAATAAGCTAAAAAACTGAAACCCCTTTCGTATTCAGCAGTAGAACAACGTTTACTATTTATCAGGTACTGACCCGCCCGTATACCAATAACATAATACTTTATTTTGCGTATATGCATTTATTTGCAACATTTGCTATGGTTATACAACGTATACTACTGTCGTATACCCTCCAACACATCACTGCCTTGTACGGACTTATGGCTTGATAATGTACGTGCGTCTTGCATAAACATATGACGTTAGTACATATAGGATTCACTATGCCACACGCGACTTTAATCGTTCTGTATGTCTTGTCTTAATACGTATATATTTGTATATACTTGTCCAGCCATACATTCAGCAAGTGGTTTGGAGGGTAGATGCTATACTATTATTTTAACGTGGTGTGTTTTGAGATTTTGATGCATTTGAAAATTATGAATATTATTTTATACTTGTTGAATGTTTGAATAGCATAAAATACGCTGAAAATCGATATTGCGCGTCCATGAGTGTCAAAATCTTGACTATGGATATTGATTAAACGCTACCGCAAAATTTATTTGCGCTACCACGTGAATCTAAACACTCGTTAGTACGACCGAATCGCGATTCAGAAATGGGAAAGAAAAAGTTCGATTTATCGGAAATACTAGATGAAGTTAACAAACGGAATTCGAGTTATCACGACTCGATTTAAGTTAATTTCACTTATGATTGATATTAGATTTATATAAATAAAGACATTTGTATTACTTGATAATAAAAATAAAAGTCTGTATCGGAAAATTAAATTAAAAACTATATCGTTGATTGAAAAATAAAATAAAACTATTAAATGAAATCGAAAACGTAACAAGTATTGGCAGCAAAAATATTGTGTACGATATACTCGTACGTAAAAAGTATCAAGTTTATTTTTAAAAAGGTGAATTTCGACGACTAAATCTGTACGCATTAAACACAACCAAACATCACACCACCCAGGTATAGTCGAATGTTATCGTTGGTATTAAAATAGCACATATTCTATCTCCAAGACGAATCATGCGAAAACCAAAAAGGAAAATTACAAAAAAAAAAAGAAAAACCGCAATAATATTCTCACGAGTACTTCAATATGTACAATATTATTACTGCAGTGTTTAGTAACGTTTGCGCTGATGATGTACTATGGCACGTATCCGTGTGGTGTGTTATGAATATAATTATAAAATCAATATAACGTGTAATCAAGTATGAAATTAAAACGTTGAATAAAATAACAAACGCCGTTGTGAAAAAATAACAATAATACAGCGTCTGCGCTGTGTTGTACAACAATCGGAATTTTTTCTCGCCGGCGCGCGTAAACGAGAATGATATTCAACTCAAAACGTTTGCGGGGTGAGCGCGTCGTGTGTGTGCGTTACGACGACTTGTCCTAAGAAACCGGTTGGTATCGCGAAGAAAATGACAGACATATAATAATAATAATAATACGTTCGTTTCGACATGGAGAAATGAGTTTGAACTATTACCACTTCGCGTACATTTATTTTGTCGGTTAATGTTCGTGTTTTAAAGCTTTTTTTAAATGCTTGTTGCGTTGTCGAAAACAATGGAAACACTTGTACGACAAGGAGATACAGGGTGGTCCATCGTGTTTTCCCGACAAAAATATTGCTTATTATTTTATTTTTTTGCACCTACTTTTCACAGTAGATTAGTTAATATCAAATTCGTATTTCTATCCTCTTACCACCTTAGAGAATTAACTTTTGGATTTTTCGTGTCTATAAAATTGCAAAACAGCTTTTTTATGACATAACGATTCCAAAGTATTGCAATTGAATGTCTAACAATTGGTTTCATATAGCTTATTCGAATTCGACAATAATCGGAACCCGTATACTTTAAAGCATTATGTTAATTACAATAAATTCGTATGAATTTATTATCATGTTCATCTCTTCCTGGTCGCCACGATGGGTTTGGTCGCATTACGCATTCGTGTGGCCTCAGCTGTGTCTTGTGATTGTGACGAATCAATGCCGGTACACCTATTGTGATGTAGTTACTGTTGTTGAAAATGTAATGCTTTATCGCAACAGACATTATAAACGTACCCCGCGCATTAGGTTTTCTTTCTTATCGACATTTACGTTAGCCAATATTATTTGATTTCTGATCACGATACACACAGATAATGGCAATAACCAATAATAGTTATTTTCTGTACCGGTTCAAAGGGATGGATATAACGGTTTTTGTTGTCACCCATGGAAAAATGTCGAAAAACAATAATTCGTATTTTCGGAGATATTCTACCATCAGTGAGTGATTCGGGTGAGGGATGAAGGTTTGGGTCGGGAGCACCGTATATAGCTCAATACTGTAGCTATGATATCGTTTTCTCAGCTCGACGTGAAACCATGTGGCCGTCATCGGCGATCGACGACGGCGGCAGCCCGCCAGAGGACGACCCGGAAAACTACAATTATTTCGAACCCTCGCTGTTCGACGAGCCATGCGGTGCCCAGCCAGAACCGCGATCACCGGCTGACGACGTTCACGCGGCCTTCTTGGCCGCCAACCTGTTGCTGCTCTACGCGAACTTGGCCAGGCTTTCGACGATCAACGACGCGCGTCCTCCGCTTCCGTCAGCGGTCCACGACGACCGTGACCACGAAGATGACAACGAGTGAGTTGGTTTTTTTTTATTCCCCACGCCCCTTACACTTAACGTTGAATTTTGTACCCCCGATTCAGGTGTGTGTGTGTGTGTGTATGTGTGTGCGTGCATGGACGGAACTAAGAGGTGGAAGATGGGGATTTATCCCTGGTCGTAAAATTTTAGAGGGTGTAATTTTTTTAATTATTAACAACTAATTTGATATTTTTTTAATTCTTTTAAATACTTTTATTAGGTTAAAATAACTCAATAAGTGTGATTGTACATTAATTATTAGAAAAAAAATTCTCGAGAAGAGTATTTGATCTACGATAGGGTGTGATTTTAACATTTTCCCCGAGCGTAAAAATTCCTAGTTCCACCTTTGTGCGTGTGCGTGTCGTGCACTTGTCACGTCCTTCCAGTTTGTGCCATGGTGAATTAATGCCGTTTTGTCCGCGCGGTCGTTATAACAAGCGGATGCGCGAATCGTTAGAGGAACCGACGGAGGGTAAACGGCGACGTGCGCGATTCGTAAACCGGAACGTTTGCGATGCGCAAATTTTCCACGAGTATACACCGGGACGTACATACATTGCGCGGTATACGGTATAAAAGAATGCGTGACTTGATATGATAATAATTAAAATATCAAACATTTCTACGCATCACATATTCACCAAGGCCTTAGAGGGTTAGATTAGATTACGTTTGTTTCGTAACAAATGTATGTACTACGGGTAAAAAGTTATGCGTCCAATTTGTTCGGGGAAAATGTTAATTTATTCTTGACCGGTATAGGGCTTATAGTATACGGATGAAATCTGATTAAATTTGTAACTAGAGTATTTTGTTTCTGTAACTCGTGAAAATAATACAATTCACCGGTATAATTATAACTTTCCGAGGACTTTTTTTTTTCTAGATACTTTTTTTCCCGACAATCTATTGTGTACAGGGTGCGTGTTCGTGTTTGTGTCAGACATATTTTCACCCGGGTTCGCCATGCAACTTACACTTTGGTACTCTGTATAACTTGTATATATACACATAACCGCAGTCTCGTACCTGTACGTGTACAGTGATAGTTACTCGTGGCGAGATACTTCTTCGTTTCCGTACACAATACATGTGTATCATATATACACTTATGAAATAAGGTATTACGTTATAATGAGTTGATTTACTTTATATTTATATTTTATATATAATATATTTGATACAACTGTTGTCGGACGCAATTTTTAAAAAATGGTAAATTGCCTACAAATAACGGTAAGGCTACTACTAGAGTTGTAGTTTTGAGCAGTAACGGACCCATAGGGGGGGGGGGATAAACTTCAGGTTATTATATTAACACTTATAAGAATATAATAGTCAAATATCAAACGTTTGCACAATGATTAGAATATGGGTGTAAATTTAACAATACAATGCAAACGAATTAAATTGAACGACTCGAAAGTTAATTTTTCTACTATGATAATGCTAAAACTCTGGTTATGAAATGAAATGAGAAAAGAGTTTTGTTTGATTAGCTCTGTTAAATGTTCACAATGACGATATAAATCACGTCTGCTAAGCCATCGATTATTTTGTAAATAACAAAAATAAACGGCTAAACTTAATTTTATGATTTTGAAACATTCTTGTTCACGTATATAATATGGAGAAAAATATAAATAAAAGTGACCTCGTTGAATTATTATTTTATTATTTATTCAATTTATATGAGCTATGTACGCAGTATATTCATTATTTTAATATTAATTAATTAATTTTTTTTGTTATAAAAGTCTGTAAAATTAGTGTGTTTTTGAAGTATAAATAATCTGTTTAAGTATAAAGACAAGTACTTATGTCGATTTGAAATAATCGATGGAAAACAACAATTATTATTAGGTTATAATGGCGTATGAAAGGGGAGTTTTGAATTTAACCCTCTCTCCGTTGAAAAAATCCTAGTTAGTAAATAAATAGGTAATCATAAAAATAAATATTACCTAAGTATATCAATTCTTCCATAAATAATCTTTACTTACCCCTTTATCCTATTGAATGAGACTCGATTTGATATTGGATAAATTTGAATAACCCTTGACCTTAATTGATTTCTGCATCGCTATATATATTCTAATATTTTTCTTTATCGACGTGTACAACAAATAAGTTGAGAAAATAAGTCGACTTACCCAGCATACACGCGCATAGTTGCGTTAGTTGCGCTATTACAGTGGAGAACCTCGACACTCGTTGAGATGATATTAATTTTTCGACCATTTAATCGTTTTTCCGGACCATAAATTCAATAATGCGACGATGACTATAAGCGAAAAATATCAAGAATTAGCGACAACAATACATTACGCCGTTTACCGCAAACAACACGTTTATAATAGGTATGATGTAAAACCAATATTATTTTTTTTCTTCGAACAAACGAAAATTATTTTCGGTTCAATTGATTTTTGACTCCAACTCCTCCACCCTAACTTAACATTTTCACTTGAAACACACGCGTACTCGCTATGGATTACATTCCGACTTGTTGTCCGCCGTCTTTCTCCGTTTCGGTACATGAAGTTAATCGGCAAGAAACAACCGTGACGGTTCAAATAGGGGTTTTCGTCGATTATGGTAAATTATTTTTAATTGATCGATGCTTGGTCGGACCGAGACAGAGACATTTATACGTCGCCGTGTTCAGTGGTCCTTAGCGCGAGGCGCAACTTCATCTCTGCGGCATAACGATACGACGCTATGCGATCGAGACAAATTTGTTCCTGCGTTATAATATATTCCAAACAATCGGATCCGTGAAACCATCGCGTCCTTCGAATGGATCCGATTCGACGCGGGCCGTGTCCAACACACGCGTGTACATCTACGCTGCCGAAAAACACCGATAGCTATAGACGGGGAACCAGGTTTTGCTCGGCCAGAGCCTGGGATTTGTAGCGGTCGCTGTAGCGGTTGGAGCAGAGAATTGTGATTTTTTTTCTCCCCGGCTAGAAACGTTCAGATTTCAAAACAATCGCAGTCAAATAATGTGAACGAACGTTACGATTAACTACATCGTTTTAACAAGCGTTCAATTGCGACGTATGGTATGTTACGTACAAGGTGTACGCGTGTAAATATGTTTAGACTTTTATTTCCGGACCAGTGTCGCGTTAAGCTATATAGCCACCCTTAAGAAAACTACAATTCAAAATAAAAAAAATAATATATGTAACAGAAATTGCGTCCCTTGTCCCCGTTAAACGCGGCTCTGTTCCGAACCAGCTATATGATTTGATCTCTACATTGCTTAGTCCAATGTGTTTAACCAATGTTCTCGTAAGCTTTTCAACTGACATCAATAATTGCTATACGACCGAATGGATAAAAGAAATCGATTTGTACGAACAGCGAATGGTTTTACATAAATATCATTTTTTAGTTTATTAACGATGTCGGACAACGATTTCTTTACAGAGAAAAAAACGGTTCTATTCCATATTATTGTTCGATTGATTTGCTCCGCTTTTTCTTACACCACGATTCGCGCAATCCAATGCTGGGTTTTTCGGGAAAATCAACGTTTTCGACTGCATTACTCAGATAAATCCGTGGTAAATCTTCGAACGCGTAAACCTAACGCGCGAATTATATCGATCGCGGTTTAACGGTAAAATGCGCGCGATATGTTTCATATGAATCCGTTTATTTGTCGGTCGTTATTAATTAAACACTATATATTATGGTCAGCGATCACGAGCGTGTAAATTGCTCAGACTTATCCATTCAAACGACAACCATTGTATCATATTATATTGTAAATGTACGCGCACCGAAGTCGGTTTCGCAGAATGAATTCAACTCGTTTCAGACGGCAATAACGAACGGATTATTTTCCAATCCGGACCGGACTCGTCCGCACGGCCACTGCACCAATGGAGCACGTATACCGATATGATATTGCGTTCGGCTATCGCCAATTATTCACGTGTTGAACGTGAGCACTATAAGTGTACGACACGAGAATATTTGACGCTCCGTTTGAGACCCGATGAGCCGGCAATCACATTTGAAACAATCATTGTAATTTTATGTTCTCTAGATCGTACCGCTCTGTACAATGTTAGTCTGTACAGCGTGCATCACTTAAACGGTAACGCGAGATACTTCCGTCCAATGACTTTGGATTGAAACGAGAATTTTTCGAGAGAATAGAGAATATTAAAACGCATATTTTGCGATAATTTTAAAAATAATAATTTATTTTCAACACCAGACTTCGATAGAGCTATTATTTTTCAATCGGTTTACAAACTTTTTTCGTATCTCGAAAACTGACTGAATTATAGTAATCTAAAATGTTAAGAAAAAAAAAATGTTTGCTAACTATTTTAAATGGTAACGCGAAATGTCGGAATCTGGTGTTGAAAATATATTTCGCCATTTGAAAAAAATGCAAGTTTTATTGTAATAGAAAGATTAGAAAATTTGAAAATGATCGGAAGGTGTGCGTTTCAACATTCCCTAGCTGCTCGGAAGATTCCCATTTCGATCCAAAGCCGGAACATTTCGTGTTACCCTTTGAGTGAAACGCTCCGTGCATTGTGTTGTAATAGCTGTCCAGTATGTGTCACCTAGATCGGATTCAATGGCGCATCCATTCCATACGTACGCCCGGGGCGTGCGCATTGTCCGTTTATTATTATTTTGTTTTTCGTTTTAGTGCGCCATCAACTATCTACGTGCGCGCGCGGACCGCACCGTTTCGGCCGGACGGCATGAACAACGTGACACGGTCGTTGTCGGTCAACGCATACGTCGTCGGGTCAAATGTGCGTAACACGCGCGCACGTATTGAACGAAACGTGCGGAGCCGATTCGAAAGATTACAAATCGACCAGTTGTCGGTGATTAGGTGTATTATAGCGCGTGTATTATGCATCGAATGGTGTGAGGATGTCTGCAGCGTCAGGACCGTTTCTACACTTTGCGGGGCCTAGGGCAATTTTTTTTTTCCGTGGATTTTTAGG